GGGGGCCCCCCGAACGGCCCCCGAACCTACTCCCTCCGTTCGGTAGTGTAGAACTCACAGTCTGCTGTCTCTCTCTCTCTCTCTCTCTCCTCTCCCTCCTCTCTCTCTCTCATACACACACAAACACACACCCCAGAGTAAGTCATTTTCAGGACTGGTTCAGCTACACTTTCATGAAAGATACCAGCAGAGATGCAGCAGTGCCCACTTCTTATGAAAGGACCATTTATAATGCCAAGCTTCTTGAGCTCCTTGAAGCTGTAGCACCTCCAAACTGTTTCAGAAGAGGTCTTGGCTGTTGTATCACTGAAAGAACCCATAAAGTGATTCTCCCTCTTCTGGGCACGTGGCTGGATTGCACTTCCTGGGCCCGCCTGGTTGGATGAGGCCATGTGACTAATTCTGGCCAATGAGTAGTCGGCAGGAGGGAAGTGGATCAGTTCTGGGCTGAGACAGTTAACTGCTGGATGAGACTCTCCCAGTTCTGCTGCTTCTGCTTCTGCTGCCGTGGCAGCCTGTGTTAAGATGAAGCTTCTGTCAGCCTGAGTCCCTGAGAGCCCCCCAACCAGCCAGTGTCTTACATGTAGTGGGAAATTTGGGGGTTCATTACCTCCCACCCCCCAACCTAGCTTGACTGATACACCACACCGCTCCCATTACCACCCTGCAGAGTCTCTGCAGGAGGAGTTTGACCCAAGCACGGAGCCCCTATTATGGAAATCTAGCCCTAAGGGAAGAGTCATAGGAAACCTCTTATACGTAGTCTCAGAGATTACGGCCTTTTCCTTGTTACTTTAATTTTGACAATAATAGTAATACCTGCCATTTATTGATTATATACTGTGTGCCAGACACAGGGCTCGGCTTTTTACATACACTTTCCTGTATACTCTTCCGGGCAACCTGAAGACTGCACTCACCAGCATCATTAATGACTTAACTGCTAGCTGGATGGATGTTTGCTGGTCCTCCCTGATATCCTTGTGGCATAGCTCCCTGATGACCCCCAACTTCTTTTTTCACCTTCATTTCCCTTCACTGTGCCAGGTGCTGAGACAGAGCAGCGAATAAGACAGACATAGCCCTGCCCTCATGGAGTTTAAAGTCTAGTTGGGAAGACAGGTGAGTCAGCAGATGATTAACACTCAGCGTGATAAGAGCTAAAATGGTGCCAGATCAGGAGGTCTAAGGAACTGTGGAGGGAGCCCATAACCCAGCCCATAACAGTGCATCAGGGACCTGAAGAATGGGCAGGTGAAAGAGAGAAGAAAGAATGATCCCGACATAAGAGACAGCATTGCAACAGCTTAGAGCTTGGAGACTGGTTCAAGGCAGTAGATAAGTATGGCTGGGAGCTGAGCAGGGGAATGGGAAGAGATGAGGCTGGAGCGACCAGCCAGAGCAGCTCGTGTAAGAACTGGAAAGGCTCCAGTAAGAAGTGGTGAGGTGGGAGGGTGTAGCTCAAGCACTAGGATGCAGGAGGTCCTAGGTTCAATCCCCAGTACCTCCTCTAAAAATAAACAAACAAATTTAATTATCCCCCTCAAAAAATAAAATAATAAAATGTAAGGACTGGGAAACTTCAAAAAAAAGTGGAGTGCCATCAAAAGGCTGTGAGCAAGGGAACTAAACACGTTCAGATTTCAGTTGAGAATGACCCCTGAACCTGTTTCTTCATCTATAAAATGGAGATAATAATAGCATCTGGAGAATTAAATGAGATAATACGTGCAAACAATGTCTGGCACATAGGTTATTATTCATTCAGCTAAGAGAGTCACTTCCATTGTAAAGCCTTGCCTATAGTTCAGTGTTGACTATAATAGCATTCTGTTATAACCATTCGATTATTTACTTATGCCGCTCTCTCCCTAACTGGGAAATGAAACGATCCAGGAAAAAGACCATGTCCCAGTCCGATCTGTGTTTCTCGTTTCCAGCACAAAGCCTAGCACCTTTTAGGCACTTGGTGATTGTGGGCCCAGGACTTAACAGTGAAAAACATTTCAAAGGGCTAAGTCCGAGGACAGGACATACCACATTCTACCACAAGAGGGCGCGCTATGTTCCCACGAGAGAGCCAGGCTGCTGGGGAAGGGTGGGCTCCCGACCTCCAGCACAAATCACCTTCCAGGACCTTTCTCGAAGGAAGCCTAGTGCGAAAAGGGTTGCTTTCTCAGGTCGAGTAGAAAATAATAAAATAAAAGTGTTTTGAAAACTTCACTTGTAGCACTGATGGTAGGGGTTGCCTCCGCCGAGCTAGGCGTTAGGGTTTTGACTGCGTGTTTTTTAACCAGAAAAGCAAAATACCGTCTTTTCCTGAGCCGCTTGAATCTTTGTGCAAGTGTGTGGCTGCATGTCTACATAAAGGATTAACATGGTTTCGCATCCTGATCCCGAAGTTTGCAAACATTCACAGTCCCAGCCACTGTCATCCGGACTGGGAACCCACCAGGCCTCCTGAGAGAACAGATGGAGGTCCGAACAAATGAAACAGGCCGCTTTGGGAGGAAAGGGATGCATTGAAAGCTACCCGGGCAATCTCAGGGAGGACTAGTGAAGGAGATTCGGGGAGGGAGCGGGGAAAGGAAGGAGTGTGAGAGGAAGAGGAATAACGGGCCTCTGGGGAGGGAGGGGTTAACCCAGGCTGCGGGCCCGGAGGAAGAAAGGGCGGAGTGACACCCGGGAGGCGGGCTCTCGCCGCGGCCTCTCGAAAACAACAGGCCGCTCCAGGTAAACACAGGGTTAAGGGGGCGGGTCCAGCGGCAGCCACGTGCCGGGGCGAGAGACTATTGGCTCT